CCCCAAAACCCCAAAACCCCAAAACCCCTTTTTTGAGGTGAGAGATTGGAGATAATATGGGATGATAGGGGGATTTGTAGTTAGGAATGGAGGTTTAGGGGGAATTTGGTTAGAGGGAAAAGAGTAGTTTTGGTGATATTTGAGAACTAGTTTGGGGGTTTTTAAGATAACTAAATATAACAGTCTGAAATTGTGAGGAATTTGTGGTAGATTAATTGTCTAGATGTTGAACCTGATGTCTCCTTGCTTAAATGCGATCGGTGGATTACCCTCTTGGCATGAGTCCTTGGATTCTTCCTGTGCAAAGGAAACTTTAGATGGGCTTGGAGGGGTTCAGGAAACTGCTATTAAAGAATCCTAGAGATTATAGTTGACAAATACCTTGGATGAAACGGCTGGGCCAATTATGGAAGTTACTATGATGAAGAATAAATAATACTTGACTCTGATGCCTGATCGTTTGGAATATCTTTCAGTTTAGATATACAATTTTCAACTTGCTGACGGTATTTATAATCAGACTTTTTACATAGTAGAGGTATTGACGCTATAAATTTTCAATAGAGTCTTACTAAACTCTTCTGAAAACATCTGGTTAAGTTCTTGCTGGCCTCTAGAGCTGAAATGGATTAACATCCTCTGATGATCTTGAAGCACAGTCGTGACCACAAGCTTGAGGGCTCTGACTGAGTGAATGAGCTCTACAATATCTCACTCTTGGCTAAAGCTAAGAAACTGTATACCTGAACTGGTCTGAGTGAAGGCTAAACTTGCTTTTGGCTTTGTTGTTACAAAAGGGCAGCAAAGTTTTGAGATATTCTGAACTAGTGAAAGAGACTCTTCTTATCCCTTCCAAGTAAACTTTCAATCTTGACAAAGAGTTTTTAGTGATATCTTCTTTTATTTCATCTTTTCTCTTTTTCGTAACTGTAATATGTTAACAAAGTTTGATTGATTTGTCAAAATGCAAAGATATTTACCATCAGAATACTTTCTCATATTACTCAATGTATCGCTGAGCTTACTATTTATATCCTTTTTCTTGAGGTTTGCTGAGATCGGAAAAATAGCACCTTGCTTGATTTTATCAGTATCTTCAGATTCTTCTTGATTTGAAGTGTAAAGAAACGAGAAAAGATATGTCATAAAATAGGACTGGTTAAAGGTAGCAGTGATTAACAGTCCTCCTTGTACAAACATCCCAAATACTCCTCCTATTTGTCCTATTGCATCTAGGAACGAGAAGATTGTTCTTTCATATTTCAAACTTTCTTCGTCTTGGAAGAATTGGAGAGTCAGCAAGTCAGTTTCAGTTGGATCTGAAGAGTCTATTTCAATCAAGTCACTGATTTGTCTACTGACAGAAAAGAAGCTAGTCTCTTCTTCTTGACCAAACTGGAAGAAGCTAACTACATCTGTCACCTCTGATTTTTGGACGTAATAATCTTGATCTTTATGTGAATTTACATTTAATTTTCCTAAAAATCTGGTGTCGAATGTGCTTTTAATTGGCTTATCATAATCATCGAAGTCAAAGTAATGGGAGGCGACTCCCATTAAAAACTCACTGTTCTTGATCTTTTGGTTAATTTCAGCTGGAGTCTTGCACACGACTGATGTTCCATTCACACATCTCTGGACTTTTAATGATACATAATGTCTAATCTCAGAGTAAAGAGTGCCACTCAGTGTAAAGTCTTGGTCATCAGCACATAAATTGACATCTTTCAGGATGTTTTTCATATCTGTAAATTGATCGTCTATTTTGGAGGTTAGATTATTTAAAAGCTTCTAAAAGTTTTCCTCTAAATTATTCGAAAGTAACTTTTAATATTTTATTCTAAATTCTATCAGAAAATTGGGAAATTTTACAAATATAATATTCAAGATCATTATGAATGACTATGGATTATGAGTTTCAAGATGCTTCAGTCGTATTTTCACTAATTCAAAAGACAAGACTTTTACCGATTGTAGGAAACTTGTCTTTTCATATCGAAAATGATCTCTCTTCAGCTCCAAATGACCTATCCCCTGTAGTTTTGTTATAAGTGTCTGTGTTCTGAGTAACAGAGATACTGATGTATGATGGATCATACTCCCTTGAACCTGTGGCCATATCCATGATGGCAAAAGTAAACGCAAAATTATCATTGCTGATGTTATAATCGATACGATTGTTTTGGATGTCATTAATAACCCTATTGAGTGTTTTCTGAGTCTGTTGTTTTTGGAACATAATTGTAAAGATCCTTACAGAATAAGACACCATAATGATCATTATAACCAGACTAACAATGCCTCCGTACAGAGTTTTAAAGCTCTCCTGACCTTTGAAGGTGAGGCTTACCTTCTGAGGAAAGAGATCAGCCTTTCGTACTGATGCTCTGACCAACTTTGCAGCCTTTTTCATCTTTAAATATTTATAAAATCTCATTGTTTCAGTCCATTGGGCTTATCACGGGGTTTTGGGGTTTTGGGGTTTTGGGGTTTTGGGGTTTTGGGG